TGTGAATCATCCTTCACCTTGCCACCAGTTTGCAGCAAAAACAACTCAAAGAATGTGGGTGTGGCCCGCGCAACGGCACCTATCAAGGCTTCCAATCACCATCCATTTTGATGATGTCAAGGGAGAAGTGCAACGATTTTCTCGTAACCCCACGAAAAAGAAGAACAACGTAACCACGACGACAATGTACAGCTGAAGGGCAGCATTCAGTGATCGCTGATGATTAACGATACGCACGCAGGCAGTGATCAATAGTTTCGCCCATGTTCAAGCCATACCTCGGCAATTGGCATCAAAATAAATGGAACAAAGTACCATTGTCTCAGCAACAGTCTAGCCTACGAGCAGTCTAGCCTATCTACTGGTCAACAGACATTGGAAATGAAAACAGCAAAATAGACGGTGAAGTCCTCCGGAAAGTGTAAACCTCACGTACTGGAATGTGATGTTCCAAAAGAAAAGGAAAAAACGAGCATAGGACCAACATTTTTCAAACAATTGCGATGAGCTGTAGGATGGCAGATGAGGAGAATCATCGGATACAGCTACATCAATGACCTTTATGATCTATTGTGACTCACATGAAAAAGTCACTGAAGAAAGTTATTAAAGTCACTGGAGACTTTTACTATGAATTCTTATTCCTCTTGTCCTCATGGTGACCTCCAGATTGAGGCGCCTAGGTTATGGAATCTGATGCTTACAGCGAGTTGCCAATCGACAATCAACCAGCACGAATTGCCAATCAGACGATAGCGTGGCGCACATATGCTTCATATTTTCACACGGATGCGACTTGTTTTGCTCGACTTATTTGGTGTTTTCCATGTTTAAACTGCTCATATGCATGATCGGGTCCGTAAGGCAGTGTACTCATCACGAGCAGCGGAACTATTAAAGGTGTATTAAGGATTTTGGTAATAAGGAATAAACAAGATGTCGAGATACACGCACAATGGGTGTTCAGTGTGTTAGATGTTGCCTACCGAAACTTTGAAACGAACTGGCACTGTAACGGTAGCAGGCCTGGTAAACAGACTCTCACAATGTGAGTACTTAGCAGAAATGTACCTGTCAGTTACCAAAAAATGCTGAGTTATGCACAGAACGTTTCGAATGAAGAGAGGGATCGAACCTACACTTATGCTTGGCTCAGTATCGCAATAACTTGTAAGGTCACCGACACCCCACTCGCTTCGCCTCAGCTTTTTCAGAAGCATATTTACAAGCTTGCCAGCACACTATGTAAAATATTATGGGCCGGCTAGCCGACGTTGGCAAATAAGGTGAAAAGGGAGCATTATTGACTATTCCTTCCTTCAATGAAAGCTCTTCTCTTGTAACAACTAATTGACCGTCTTGATTGTATAAGGCTCAACGCTCGATAAAGAAGTCAAAGAGGCAATGCACATACAATCATACCAACTAAAGGGACACGTGGAAGCATCCCCTGATTTGATGCAATAACAAGCAGGATAGGTAAGATTGCAACTAGCGTGCATACAAAACTTTGTAGGATGGAAGAATGGTGATATTACCTCTACAAAGACAGCGTCTCCTTCCCGTAAACTGCTTATAAAATCGAACGTCTCAAAATCTCTGTACAGAAGCACACGTTGCTCACAGTCATCGATGGCAAGGAGCAGCCTAAATTTTCTGCATTACGAGCAACAGCAGAAAAAGGATTGTGAAAAAAAAATCCAGCAGGTATGCGAGAATGTGAATTTCCAAATACGAGAATTTTACAGAATACGTGAAAAAAATACGCTATTTCACAAGCGAAGTGTAATAAAATTGCTGAGAGGGCCAATACCCTTTCTGGAAATACTATAATCAGTACCCATTAACTGAACCATTTCATATGACCTACAACAATATGAAGTTGGAGCATAAAAGCAGCAAGTTCGAGAAGAAGATGTTGCATATGGCTTGACTTACATTGCTTGATCATCCGTCAATCGCATCACATTGGTCTTCGGTATGACAGCGTAAACGCAAGGGTTAAGCACATCCCGAGCTAGAAATGCGTCTTTACGTCGAGATTCTCCATGTTGTCTTCTCAGAAAATTTACTATCCGTGGATCATCGAGCTCAGAAAGAGGCTTCAGTAGGGTCCCCGGGTCAATCTGAAACAGTAGCTTCATAAAAGTGAGTTCGAGAATAGAGGTAATCGTCCAACACTGGCAATATTTCATAAAGTAGTTCTCACGAGCATTCCCTCAATTTCGCTCAACTCAATCAACTCACTAATTCGAAAATTATTCAAAACGTCAATGGCTGCTGCCAGTATGTGAAAAAAAATGAAACATAGTAAACAAAAACCTGCGTTTTAGAACATTCCAGTTCAGGATGGATAAGATCGAATCTGAAGCCTATGCAGGGATATTCGAGTAGCGCAATGGACGATTCGTCTGGAGAATATCTGCCATTCCTGAACAACACGAGCAAATTCGATACCCACGACTTATTGCCTTATGAAAAGTAAGTTAGACGCAAAAGACAGTTTTTACCAATGGCACTGTTACAACATGTATTGAACAAGTTGTGCGTTATACAACGAGTGAATCATACAGAAATAGAATAATCACGCGTCTGCGCA